GTGCCATGCGGTGTAGTGGTGTGTCATGTGGTGTGGCAGGCGTGCCATGCGGTGTAGTGGTGTGTCATGTGGTGTGGCAGGCGTGCCATGTGGTGTAGGGGTGTGTCATGTGGTATGGCGGGTGTGCCATGCGGTGTAGTGGTGTGTGATGTGGTGTGGCAGGCGTGCCATGAGGTGTAGGGGTGTGTCATGTGATGTGGCTGGCGTGTCATGTGGTGTAGTGGTGTGTGATGTGGTGTGGCGGGCGTGCCATGCGGTGTAGTGGTGTGTCATGTGATGTGGCTGGCGTGTCATGCGGTGTAGTGGTGTGTGATGTGGTGTGGCGGGCGTGCCATGAGGTGTAGGGGCGTGCCATGCGGTGTAGGAGTGGAGAAACATCAAGGTGTGGCGGGCGTGCCATGAGGTGTAGGGGTGTGCCATGCGGTGTGGCAGGCGTGCCATGCGGTGTGGGGGTATATTGTATTATGTGGTGTGCGTGCCATGCGGTGTGGGGGTGTGTCATTTTGTGTGGTGCGCATCTCATGTGGTGTGGTGGGCATGTTGTATTATGTGCTGGGCATGTCGTGGTGTAGGGGACGTGTCGGGTTGTGTGCTGGATGTGTCATGTGGTGTGGTGGGCATGGCCTTGATGTTTCTCCTGCCCTCTTGTCTTCCAGGGTGTCTCGTGCCTCCTCGGTGTTGCTGTCTGACCCCTGCTTCCAGCTGAACTCCATCCGGCACCTCCTGGGAGAGAGTGAACCGCCCATCTCTGGGGCTGCCCCGGGCCCCTCTGAGCGCAAGCACTTCTCCCTGCACGCCTGTGAGTGGCCTCTCCATGCCGATATCACTCCCCCCCCTGACAGGAGCGCCAGATGTTGCAGCCTTATACAGTCTCTGTTATCTGCTTGCACTGTTTCAGAGAAGAATCTTGCGTCGACAAATTCTAGCGAAGTTTTAAGTTAGAAAGTCTATAGAGGTAGAACTCGAACTTCTCTTCGGAGCCAGCTGAGTGCTTTCAGCATTCTTGTGATTAATATTTAATTGAAATATATACCAAAGCCATTTTTCTTCTCCATCTCTTTCTGAGCTTGTTGCTAATACAAGCCAAGGGCTTTTTTGGCAGTTCAGGCTGATACTGCAACCCCATCTCACATACACACATATTGAGGTTTTCTGATGTCCTAGAATAAAGATCATGCATATTCTGCTCTCCTTTAAAACTTTTCTTTTGGTTGTTTTACTGGTAACATAATCCTGTGTTGTTGTTTTTCTCATGCCAAAGTGCCTTTAGAGGTACTTTAACAGGGACCCTCTTGGGAGCAGACTTTGATTGGCACGTTCCTAAGCACTTGCATGCAATATAATAGAATTCTTTATTAGTGCCACATCTTTCTGTACTAGAATATGCCCTGGCACCCACCCCCCACCACCACCACCAAAACAGGGAAACCTTTACCAGCAAGCTCTTTCTGCCTGTTCGGTGTTGAGCCGGCTGCCTGAGTGCGCCCTGACATCCCTCCAGCACCGCGGGAGAATGCGTCGGTGATTCACCCGTGCTCATTACCTCAGCGAGGCCCCGCTGTTGGCTTCGGACTTCCGTAGGCGTGGCGGAGTTCCTGTTTCTGCCCACGGCAGATTTTTTTTTCCCAGGGACTCGACTCATTTGTCAGAACTCGTGGCCACCGGGATTGCGCGCATTTTGTTGCAGGCCATGCACAAAAGACAAATAAATGATATGCACGGTACCTGAGGACTTAAACCAGCCCCAGTACTCTAATTTCGATTTGAGAACCAAAGTCTTGAATGCAAAGCACTGGGGGGACCTGTTTAAATCAGGAATAACTGGGTCAGGATCAGCAGGGGAGTGTTGTGGAGTTTTGGGAATAGGTTTCCCCATTGGTGTGGTGTAGATTCACTGAAGCCGTCTTTATATAAGTTTGTACCATCTGTCTGATTTTAATTATCGAAACACACAGGATGGATGGATGGAAGGCCTCTCATTTGCTGTAATGCTTATAATAATTTGTTTTCCATGCAATGCGGTCAACCATGCGGCGACTAATGACTGCAGGTTTTTATTTTATCATTTGGAATGTAACAGTTCCAGCAGAGTCAATCCGGACTTTTGACACCATCACTTCCTGGGAGCCGATGGGTGGAACTGGCCTCCCCCNCCTTCAGAAGCACTCCTACACTGGAGCCTTGCCGTGATCCCTCAGGCTTCAGGGAGATGGTGATACACTGTGGTTAGTGCGCAGTGGCAGTACCGTAGCATACGCCGCAGTGAAAAAAACCCACAGTTATTAGCCAAACAGCGGTTGCTATTGATCATCCATGAGCAATGGAGAGTCTGACAGGTGATGCCATCAGAATTGATTCTGCTGTGCATTGCATGTAGCAGAGTGGTTATGTAAAATGAATCAACACCATCTCTCAGCCAATCTGAATTGAATATTTGCGCTCCTGTTTATCTCCTCCCCCCCACCCCAATAAGCTGTATATAGAAGGGGCTAGAGCAGCACCAGATGTCCACTGTGCACACAGGCTGGCCAGAAACTGGATGGGCAGTCTTCTAATTCACCTAATTTTGGATTGTGGCTAAAGAAGACTGTCAGTGTCGTTGACTGTTTCTATTCCCGGGTTTCATAAATTATTCCTGATTAAAGGCGACCAACGCAGAACCTTGCGGCTACAGCTGCTGGTACATTTTTCACACAAGGCTGCAGATCTCCTTAGTTCCCTCGGGAATGAATCGGTCTCAAAGGACACGCCTACATTGTCATGGGGAAGCCCTAGTGCTCCTCAACAAGATGTAATGGATTTCTTTTTTTTTTTGTTTTAAACGGATTCGCTTCCTTCACGATAACCGACAAGTTCTAGCCAGTTGCATTTATTATGTTGTCACATTACACTGTGAAGTTGCCTAGCTAGTGATTTTGCCCAAATTGCATTACTTCACTTATCCATCTATTAGGCGTGCTATTTAATTAAAGTACGTTTCTCAAGGATACAACTTTTTCTCAGTAGTCAGTACAATTTTATCTTCTGTTAATCAGAAGGTGTGAAGGTGTCAAGGACATTGTCGTCTTGTGGTCAAATTAATTTGTCAGGAAGTCATCATCGTGATTTTCTTCATTAGAACAGAAATGGACTATTTCCCCTCCTGTTCACTCAGCCTCTGTGGGGTGGAAATTGGACAGTCTGGAAAAATTTGAAGAAATTGTTTGTGTTTTTATGATGCAATTTAAAGGAGGCAAAATAGCATAAAAACAAATAGCGACCGATGGAACCGGATTGCAGGAGTCTGATCGATTTTTGTTCCATTTCTGAAGACGTCAGCACACGAGAGGGCTGGCCACTGTCAAGATGCACTGAAAAACATCTTCAGGAAGCTCTCCGGCTGATGCTCACTGGCACCGGCAGGCCGCTCTTACATTATGGATGAACGTCAGAGCTAGTTAGAGTTCTCCGTGTTGTGATGCGCCCTTTGGAAACGTGTGCCGGTCCGAGAAGTGGCAAATGAAAATCGTCGGAGTTCTGATTTTCCCCTCTTCCATCGCAGACCTCCGACATCCAGCTAGACTCGCTTTTCGTAATGGAGGAGCTGCAGATTGTTAACAGAATCTGCAATACATCAGCGAGCCCGATACCTGCTTTCTGAAGTGTTGATGTCATTAGTTATTGGATTATGTACACAATGGGCGACTAGATGGCTCAGTGGGTAGCGTTGTTGTCACACACCTCCAGGGCTGGTGGTTTGGATGCCTTTTCTGGTTCTATCTGTGTGGGCTTTGTAAGTTCAACCTCCCGCAGCCCAAAAACATGTCGTTTGGTGCACTGCTGTCTCTGATTTGCCCTTACTGTGTGACCTGCAAGAGACTGGCATCCCATCCAGTGTGTCCCTCTTTCTTATATCCTGTGTGCACACACACACACACACACACACGCACACACACTTGTATTCATATCTTTGTGGGAACCGTCCATTCATTTCTATGGGAAAAACCCTGATCCCAACAATGACAATCGTAACCCCTGCCCAGCCCTAACCTTAACCATAAGTAACCTAACAAAATACAAGGGTGCGTTTCCAGATAACAATGATTTGTAGCATCTTACGATGACTCTAAAGAAATATCTTATGAAAGGTATTCCTCTTCCTAGATCTGTTTCCCAAATAATCTCTTAAGAGAGAAAGGAGAGCGTCTTAAGTACGACCTTAATAGGCACCGGAACACCTGAATGGTTGACATTGATGACCTGGGTGGTTGGACTTTACATTATTATCGGTCTCTCCTTTCATTATTTTAGTTCTGGGATGCTCTTCCTGTGTTTTCAGATTTCTTTTTGTACGATGCAATGGCTCGATCCGTCTCCGGGACGTTCGATGCGGGTCTGACAGATCATGATGCAAGACAAACAAGCTTGGAAAGTCATGACCCCAAAAGAGGGGAAAAAAGAGACAGATCGATGTTAATGGGGAAGCCTTGAGAATGTGATGACTGTATTAACATGACACAATGCCCCTATACGACTTTTAATTATTGAGAAGTGATAAGAACGTGAGCAAATTCCTCCAGTTTCCCTGGCCTAAGATTGATGGTCGCTGAGGTAGCTCACCTGTCTTCTTAATGCTTCCTTTCGACAAACAAGCCTAGTATTAGAGACATGAAAAACTGCCAGTTTTATATGAAAAATAGATTTAAATGTATATCCCTCTTTAAATTGTACATAGAAACTGAGAGGGTCCACAGTAATGCTTCTTCCTGTCCAGTGTGTCCAATGAGCAGAATTCTTCATGATCTTCTCCACCATCCACTTCACTGCAGCTGTTTCAGTGGGTTCAGGGCCAGTCCTGTGTTTGAGCTGGCTTTCCTGATGAATTATCTTGCTTCCCCTGCTGGCCATATAATAAAGAATTACTCTATGGACTGGAAAAGCTTGCTACACACATCAAACGTCCTGAGTCTCCTCAGAGAGTAGAGTCCTGCTGCACTGTCTATCCAGTCTGCTGCCTCTCAGGTACTTGCAGCACTGCACTACCTCCACTGCCTGCCCCCAGGTGGTGACCGGTCTCAGGGGCTTCTTGGCGAAGCAAAAATCCACCGCAAACTTCTTTGTCTTGCTGATGTTGAGCTGAAGGTGCTTCTGCATCACAAGACAAAGTCCCCCACTAGCTCCCTGTACTCTGAGTCATCTCCAGCGACGATGCACCCTGTGGTGGACGAGTCGTTGGAGGACATCTATAGGTGGCGTGAGCTGGTGTCCTACTGGAAGTCCGGTGTGTAGAGGGTGAACAGGGACGGTTCCCTGAGGTGCCCTAGTGTTGTTCACTACCATCTCTGATGCACAGTCCCACAACCTTATCTGTTGGTCAGGTAGCCCATGATCCAGGATGGATCTTATCTCTCCTTTCTCATATAATACAACAGATTTTATAGCATGTTGTGAAAACTATAAATGTTTAATGACTGATTTTTTATTACAGATATCTCCTGCTGAAGGTACTGCCAGCCACAGCTGTGGTAAAATACAGCCTGGATAGTTTTACTTAATTAATGTATTTATTTGAGGGGCACTGAACTCCAGTGCCCCACATGACTGCCCTTGGCCACAGTCTGAATGCTCAGGTGCAGCAGTGAGACGGCGTGTCTGATGAAGGTCTGCTGCAGGTCACGGCCGGCCCTCTGCTATTTTAATCATTTATTCTGGGTGACAGTCAGTGGGCTGCTTCCATCACACATCTAACTTGGGCTGAGACCTGCCCCAACCCCTGCTATTGTGCCCTTTCTCTCTGTGCGGGGGCCTGATGTCCGCCCCCCCAGCAAAAGGAACAGCTCAATACGAACGAGTACATCAATACTCTGCTCACCTTTGCTCGAGTTTCTGTGGCTAGGGGGCCACTGGCATCTGATACTGTACGGACCAGCCAGTGTGGAGACATTGTGGCAAGCATGCCCCCCCCCCCGGCTATTCGGTGTAAATATGCACCGATCTCATACTGCGCTTGTCCTCGGTGGGGCCTGTCATTCTTCATAGTGCACGGGGCTGCCATGATTGGCAGCGTCAAGGGCCACACGTGCATTACTTTGGAGCTCAGACAGGCATGAAATTGCATGAGGCGAGGATGTGACCGTGGACGGTTTTCTCCAGGGGGGCTGTAATTATCGGCTCGGTACGCCTGTCCGGTCCGGCCCAGTCCAGTGGGGTCTCCGCTGGTCACAGTGTGACGAAGCAAGTGCCACATCATCCGGGGTGGGGGCCCTTTGTCTGATCAGTGAACTGATTTTCAAGGATATTTCTGATGGCATCTATACTTTAAAAAAGTTTTGGCTATGTAAAGTACTCTTCTGGAAGTGGATAAATCAATAAAATGGAAAAAAGCATAATTCGGGTGACTGAATGGACATGATGAGTAATTAAAATCAGTCTTCGTCTGTGACCATAGACTGTGTTTTCCCAGACACTGACTACATCAGCGTGGAGGAGGCTCAGAAGGTTGAGCACATGCTGGCTTTCTTGACGGAGGAGTCCAAGCAAGCGGCGGCCAGCACAGCTGTGAGTAACCGGTGGAGCTGGGTGCGCTATATATGGTGTATAGACCGGGTTTGCCAGGGTGGGGGAGGGGCATGTTTTTGTATCAGTGGACAACGTTCACTATGTGGATGGGGCTTGTCACAATATGGGAGGGGTGCAATTTGTATAAGGGAGGGGCATGTTGTATGTGTTGAAAGGCCATGTTCTGTGTGTGAGTGGGTTTTACCAGGGTAGGGGAATGTTCTGTATAGGGGCAGGGCATGTTCAGTATGTAGACGAGGCTTACCCCATTTGGGAGGGGCATCATCAGTATATGGGCGGGGCATGTTCTATATAGGGGCGGGGCATATTCTGTGTATGGTGGGCCATTTTCAATATGTAGACGAGGCTTACCCCGTTTGGGAGGGGCATCATCAGTATATGGGCGGGGCATGTTCTGGCTCTGAGAGAGGTGTGGTCAAACACTGGCGGAAAGTTGCTGTTGTCCTCGTCTTGTTACTTTTGCCTTCCCTGAGTGAGTCTTTGTTAATGATTGTTTTCACAAAAGTGGGGAGAAGGGCTGATGGAGAGCGCTGTTAGACCACCTCTTTCCAGGAGACGTACCTCTGACAGCTCTCTGGAACGCTTTTATGTACTTTCTTGCCCCCTTGACCTGGCTCACTGATAGAAGCTACGGTTTTTAGTGGTAGAGGATCCTAGCCCCAGTTCTCCTACTGCGTCCCTGGAGGAACAGACCAGCGCCTCTCTGCATCAGGCTACATGGCACCGCGACTCAGGCCGTGCAGCCGCTGCGCTGGAGGCTCATATGGATGCGCTGGCTTGACTTACTTCCAGTTTACTGCCGTTGGACCTTTAAGGAGTGTCTGAGACATGCATGTTGGCACAGGTTGTAGGTTGTAATGATCTGAGACACTATAACATTCCCTAGATTGCTTTGTACTTAACCTTTTGAGAAATAGACACTTTTAACGTCAAGATGATCCTTTTAAACAGACAGGATTATTCCTATGTGTGTCTATGTATCTGTAAGTGGCGGCTTGCTTTAGAGGACACTCGAGTGTGTGTGGGAGGGGTCGGGTTCTGATGGTGAATGACAGGGGTCACTTTGTGTGTTTCAGCCGCTTGATCCCAGCTTAGCGGACAGACGGTTCGGTCACGTCGAGTCCTAAAGGCCTAAAGACTCCCTGAAGTGTATGTCTCCCCTTTTGGCGTCGACTTGCTGAAGTTCAGACATAATATTCAGTGCTCTTTTTATTTCTTTCTTTATGGAATGTTTATTTTTGAAAGTAGGCTAATTCGTCATTATAAGTAGCGACCCCCCCCCCATCTGATTGGGTCTAACTTTTCCAGCCGGCGGTCTCCTGTGAAATGTGCAGGTCATATTTAAAAGCAGCACCATGATGAATATGAAGGTCCAAGCGACTGATTAAACAAGCATGTCAGCGTGGTGGGCCACCGTATTAATGCACGGCTGTTCGCTGTGACGCAGACAGTGCAGCCGCCTCAGGATGCTTGTCAACCCATTAATTAAGGAGTCCCCCAATGCGCCCGTCACCGCGGACCAGGCAAGAGCAGCTTCATGAACATGGAGGAGCTTCCACAGGCTAACAGAACAAAGCAGACCTGGGACTCTCGTTAACGAAAGCTATCCAGTGCTAATTAGCCTGTCCTGCAAGCTTCTGTTAATGTTACATTGTTTGAAAAGCTGTCGAGCTGCACAGGGCCATGAGATCTAGCTACAGTATGTCCACCCACCACCTGTAGTCACATTCTATTGCATGTTTGATTAGGTTTCTTTGATGGATTCTGTTGTCCAGCAACATTGCGTGCTGGCCTGCCGCTCCAACAGAAAGCGTCCTTACAGCCGTCTCCGCACCTGGGGGGGGTGGGGGGTTTAGGGGGTGTGGGGCAGAGTACCAAGGAGGCTCTTCTCATTAACCATAATTGTTCCATCCAGGCCAAGTCCGTCTGCGTGCTGCGGAGAGAACAAAGCCTTCTACCGCTGCTCATTGCTATTCCATTAACCAGCCCTTACTGCTATCGAGCATCAGCACTCTCTGCCCACATGGAAAACACCCAGCCTTTCCATCCCTGAGTGCTTTTAGTCCTGCTTTGGTCTGTTTTAGCTGTTTCACATCTGCATCCCCATGTCACGGAGTTCGCTGGCAGAACACAGGATGCTCCCTCCCCCCACTTCCTCCCCCCCCCCGGTGCGCAGATGGAAGGATGGAGTTGGTTGCTGTAATTTTGGGGGGATGTGGCCCTTTGAGCCACTTTCTTGGAGAGCCCCTCCACTTATTTAAGTCTTTGAGTTGAGCGCCCCCTCCTGCCTGGAGGCCGGCACTTACCCTGTTTATCGACAGGCATATTCCTTTTGTTGGACCGTATGACTCCCATGAAAATAGCATCAGAAATCGAAAAGAACAACAAACACTGTCATAAAGTTAAACAATTTCACCCGGCCCGTCGTGCAAAACTTCCGGAAAGACAATTGTGCACAGAAACCTTCATATGTTTTGGTAACAGAAACATAAAACGTAAAATTTAAAGTAGGAGTTTCTTTTAGAGAATTTTCTGTCCATGGCTGGTTGTGGTTATACAGTAAAGCAGTGGCATTTCAGTTTGTATGACAGTTTGGTTGCAGTGTATCATCTAGGAAGCCTGGTGTTTTTTTTTTTTGGGGGGGGGGGGGGCGCTGGGGTTTACTGCAGGGTTCAGTGCTCTTTCTTGCTGACTGGCTGATATGTAAACACAGTTGTTCTGGGTTTTGTTGTCGGCGGAGCTGGGGGTCTGGGTTAATACCAGACATAGCTACAGCCTTGTGCTCCATAGCCTCCCCATGCTGCTACCTAGATCCTTACATTGGGTAGCTCCTCCCCCCCCCCCCCCCCACCGCCGTCCTGTCATCTCTCAACCGATTCCATGTCAATGGTGCATTTTTGTAACAAAGCATCCTCTAGAAATAGTCCCCCCCCCCNGTTAACCATAAGGTGAAATTGCAGCTGTACAGATGAAGCATTCCTTTTGTGTCTTTGTCGATTTTGATCGATGGCACTTGTCTTCGGTGTAAGAGTAATGATCGAGTGCCCTTCGCAAAACTTGACATAGACGTAGTGCGGAGTGAGTAATGCAACAACCCCTCTTTATTTTGCATTTCTGTGTCTTCACTGTTATTACCGTGATTATTCTTTCTGAGAACTGTCACTGTGAAACATTCTGCGATTAAAATGTTTGTGTTGCCGCTTATAAATACCCTACATGGATTTCCTCCGCCCGTACCTTTCAGACGCTGGGAGGGATTCACTAAACGCCTGCCAGAAAATCAGCACCCCCCAGAAAAATACTAATAACGCTTAGAAGCACTGATTTATGAAAACTGCTGAACAGTATTTTCTCGCACAGAATATCAGAGAAGGGGAAATAGCGTGTCTTTGGTTGTAGTTGTGGTCATTATGGTTGTAGTTATGGGGAACTGATGGACCTTATGAGGTTCTTAAAAGAGTCAGATGCCTGAAAGCTCAGCTTGAGGTCAGCAGACAGGCTCTGTTTGGTGATGTGTGGTTTGTTCCCTGAGTACTGGTTTGTTACCTGTAGCTCAGCTTAGCTCACCATTTTACTCTGGCCAGTTTGTTGAAGGCGGCATGGTCAATGCAGGTGAACACTACATCCATAAACCTACCGGAAACATCTTTGGCTGGGATCTTCGTTACACCGAGTGCTTCGATCATCGGTCCTGAAAATTCATAGCTGCCTCACGACCGACAGTGATATCGACTTTGTTAACACAATGAAGGTTCTCAACATCCTTCTATAAGGGGCATCTTTTAAATCTTTTAAAATGGAAACAAAAGACAAAACTTTAAATGATCTGGTGCTTGTATACTAAAAATAATTTGTTATGAGATCACGGTGGCACAGAATTTGTTGCGCTGATTTCGAGTATGAAAGGACTGTTAGGAAAATGAGACCAGACTGGCTGTTACGTTAAATCAAACCTGGAGAGAAATATGAGTACAGCTCATGGTAATGTAATGAGGGGGGGGGGGGGGGGTGAGGGGGCGGGGGGGGTCTGAGCTGTGACATGGAGAGCCGCCTGCAGTCTTGAAACCTACGTAGAAAATTAGACAATGTTTTGGACCTCATCATTCCGACTCTAATCAGACGCTGTATTTCCACCACCACCCCCATCTAAAAATCCCTTTGACTCAGTGTTGTGTGAAGCCCCAACGGTTACCTGTAGCTTAGATATGCAGCATCCCCTGGCCGTCTGCCTGCGGCATTATGGGATGCCGGACGTTTAGTCGCAGAAGCTTTGACGCTTCTGAATTCTGAGCTGGAGTTTGTGTGTTTTAATCCAGAACAACTGAGGAATAACTATGGACACCCTATAAATGTGCAAAAAGTGTTGTTTGCTGTATGTTTGGGACAGTAAATGCATACTATTCACAATATGTAATCTCTGTTAAACTGAGATCCCTTTTCCATTTAAAGTATTGCAGGCGTTCAGATTCTTGCAGACGAGCTTATTCCTCTGGCCTCTGTGGCGTGGTTTTAATCCAGTCAGACGCGGCGCACGTCACGCCCTGGGTTGTGCTCCGTCAGCGATTTCAGCCAACCGGATGGAGATGGGGATGCAGAGCTCCATGGGGTGGGAGGGAGGATCTAAGGCCAATGATTTATACCTCAGCCTTACCTCACATAGCATCACCAAGACTGAAAAGGACGTTGTGCTTTTTGCTGAGTCAGTCTGTGTATTAAGAGAGTTTTAAATTACTCCTCCCTAGAAAGTGAACAGCCATTAAATCTCAAAGAATATATATAATGTATGAAGTTCAAGAAACTTAGTGGTATGTTTCGAATAGATATTTTCATAATGCTTTCAGTGTCATTTCTAGTCTTTATTTGAAATGAAAACAAAATACAGTAAAATCCAGTTATAACGGACTTCAAGGGACCTGACAAAACAGTCCGTTATATCCAGAGTTGCTGTATGCCCAGAACACAACTACAGGACACCATTTACTCATGCCACACCCCAGCAGACACACTTGTGGTATAGATTATTATATCGTACTTGTAGTAATCCAACTTTACCTGACTATTAATAATCCCGACTCCGTATCTGCGCTGGATATCACCGGCACGCCAGTAGGCGGAGCTGCATGTCCATTTTAGCCGAACAAAACTACAGCTAAAAGCGGCCCTGAGGACCAAATTGTTTGTTCGTTATAAGCAAAATTCCCTTATATGCGAGTCCGCTATATCCGATGCTTTTTCTGCATGTTCTTAAAGGCGCATGACCGGGACCAGCGGACCTCATCCATTATAGATGATATTCCGTTATAAGCAAGTCCACTATAACAGGATCTTACTGTATAATGCATTTTAATCTTTATATGCTAACTCTTTATACATGTTAAAATACAGTACAAGGTATTTTCTTGTCATAGCAGCGCAAATGCACATAAAATAAGTACGCATTTGCGCTTTTACAAACAATCGATTGTCACGTCAGTTATGTCCATCCCTGGTTATATTTATCCTGTAGCTCAACAAATAGAGCATTACGTTAACAACGTAACAACGAGAAGGTTGTTGGTTTAAATCCCAGTGAGCATAATGCATGAAAACCCTTAAACCATTAAGATCCTTACCTTTACTGTAAACTGCTTTGGATAAAAGCTTCACATAAATGAGTGAATGGGTTAAGAATATGTCTCTGTCTGAATGGTTGTGGGTTCAAATCCCATGACTGGGATTTCATCATTGAGCTCTTGAGCAAGACCCTTAACCCTAATTGCTCCAGGGGCACTAGCTAACCCT